CCTGACAAGCATCTTTTTACTCCACGAGGACGTTCTCATCATCACACTCAGAATAGAGAACATCGACATAAGACGCATTTTGATAGACTCAAGTAGTTCATCAGAGAACATGTACTAGGACTTTTTTAAGTAAATGAGATACACTCCGAAAGACTTGAAGCCTGTGTAGACTTTCCTGGCCAGGTTCAACAATTCATACACTTTGCCACTCGAGAGGATCTCCCTCTCAATTATGACTGGGGCCATCACACTCCTAGTGGAGTTGGTTATGATTCACTTTAACTTTCTTTACAATGCAATCATGGGAAGGACGTGTCTGCATACCTTAAAGGCAGTGCACTCGTCCTATCATTAGAAGATCAAATTTCCCACCACTCAAAGGATTATGGAGATAAACAAAAACTAGGCCATCTCAAAAAGCTATTTCTATGTCGCCATTAAGACTAGGGCAAACACGAAGGGACATGAACATCAGTCAGAGACGGTCGTAGCTAAATAACAATTCGTTGGAATGGTCCATAGAAGAGCTCACCACGGTCTACCTCCACCCAAATGAAAAAGAAAGATTTTTTTCTCAACGACTCCTCTCTGACAGGAGCCGAACAGGAGGAGATGGTTGGTTTCCATCGGAGCAAGGCTGATGTATTTGCTTGGATTCCCAACATGATACGGGGATTGGACTCCAAAATCATCTACCACTAGTTGCAACTACATTTAGCGTACAAACCCATCAAATAGAAGCCTCGGTGGTCGATATTCCATCATGTAGTCAACAAAGAAGCCTGTCTACTTGGACTTCACCGACTTCAACAAGGCTTACCCAAAAAAAGATGATTACCCTTTGCCTAAGGTGGATTAATTGGTGGATGCAATTGTAGAGCACAAGCGATGGACCTTTATAGATGCTCAGGCGGGTTACCATCAGATCCCATTACATGAGGTCGATTAGGAAAAAAATTTCTTTATAATTCATTGGGGAGTTTATTATTATAAGGTCATATCATTCGAATTGAAGAATACAGAGGCCACATACCAACAACCAATGAACAAGATGCTCAAGCATTAGATAAGGGTCACCATGGAGGTCTATATTGACGATATGCTTGTAAAGAGCTGAGATCGAGGGGAACATATAAGAGACCTAGTCGAGACTTTCTAGGTACTCCGACATTACAGCTTGAAACTCAATGCATCAAAGTGCTCATTTGATAAAAGCTCCACACTTGGTGACACACCGAGGAATAGAAGATAATCCTTAGCAAATACAAGTCCTTCTAGACGTACAGAGCCCTCAGACCATCAAGGGTGTCCAAAAGTTTATCGAGATGTTGGTAGCACTAAACCACTTCGTCTCCAAGGCCTCGGATAGATACAACCCTTCTTTCAGGCTTTGAAGAAAGCCAAGAAAGATATATAGGACGACGACTATGAATTGGCATTGCAGGAAATCAAGTCATATTTAGAGGCCTCTCCCACCTTCTCGGCTTCTAAGCCCGAGGAGGTCCTTTACCTATACCTAGCTATTTTTGAGTACGCGGTCAATGGAGCATTGGTCAGGGAACATGATTCCGAACAAAGGCCAATTTGCTACATCATCAAAACCCTCATAGACGTCGAGACGAAGTACATCTCCATGAAAAAGGTGACCTTGACTAAGAAACTAAGGCACTATTTCCAAGGACACCCCATCGTGGTCCTTATTGATCAACTGTTGAGAGCCATCCTTCGGAAGGCAGACTTGTCTTTGGGAGTTGCTAAATGGGTCATCAAGCTGGGGGAGTTTAACATCTGGTATAAACCCCCAGTCTCCATCAAGGTATAAGTCCTCACTAATTTCATTGCCGAGTTTATTGGTTCAGAGACTTCCTTCGGGATGCCTTAGAACCAAGACCTGATAACGCCTACTAAAACTTGGAAGTTGTATGTAGATGGATCATCCAATGCTCAGGGCAGGGATATGGGTTGTCCTCACTAGCCTCGACAACCCTATTATTGAGCACGTAATTCGACTCAATTTTGGAGCCTCAAATAATGAAGCTGAGCATGAATTACTCATTTTAGGACTCGGCATGGCCAGTCGAATGCTTGTCTGTTGTGACTCGCCACTAGTTGTAAACCAGGTGAATGGAGAGTATGAGGTCTGGGACCCCCGTATGAAGGCTTATCACCAAAAGGCACGAATCCTGATGAAAGGTTCAAAGAAATATATGTATGCCAAATCCCCAGATATCACAACAGTCATGTAGATATCCTGGCTCACCTAACCTTGACCCTTAACTCGATGATCACCCGAAAAATAACCGTGGAATACTTTTCATAATACAACCTACTTGATTTAACACTGGCTGAGGTCCTTCCAAACATATCAAGCGAAGCTAAGCCAAATTGGATGGACCTCATAGTGAAGTATCTAGAGATTGGGAACTTCTCGAGTGTCGTAGGAAAGTCAGAAAGGTTAGACTCAAAATCTTAAGGTTTTGGGTTTCTCCAGATCAAAAGTTATACCGAAGGTCATTCTGAGGGTCGTACCTCTTGCACGTTGCTGAAGATAAAATTCAACCATTATTATACGATGTCCACAAAGGAATATGCGGAAACCACATGAGTGGTTGGTCTCTGGCTCATTAGGCCATATCTTAGGGATACTGGTGGCCATACATGTAGAAGGACGACAAACTATATGTGCAGAAATACAGCAAGAGTCAGGCATTCACACCCATTATCCGACCTCCGACAAGGGACCTCAATGCCTTAACAAGTCCGTATGGGTATTCAAATTTTCGATTGACCACAATTTTGTACCCTACCCTATCTTACTGAGCGGCTAGCCATAAAAATCGAGTAGGAATGCGGAAGAGTTTTTGGTATTCCGATTAAATCGGGTAGGAATGCGGAAAACTCACCAATTTCTGTATTCCTACCCTACCTTACCCGCAAAAAATATATTTAACTTTTTTATATTTTTTTAGTAATTATAAGAATATTTGTGTGGTATAATTTATATTATAACATTGTTATTATTGTGGATGTTTGAGTTGTGAAAACATAGACTTGTTTTTTGTGTAGGTTACACGATTTTGTGGTGAATTGGTGATCTATTGGAGCAGTTATGATTTTAATGTGTTTCATATGGTTTAAACTTAAAATAATTGTTATTGTATTTGTGTAACAATTATGATGAATTTTTGTTCATGTTTTCTTATGTTTTATTGTAATTGTTGTTGTAGTTATTTTAGCTTTTAGTGTTATTGATTTATTGTGTTGTTAAATTGGTGCATGTTATTTAATTTAATTGTTAAAATGATCCAAAAATTAATGGCTACAAAAGTATTTACCTGACTTCCTACTCGATTAATCGGGTAGGAAGTCGGGTAGGAATACTACACCTGATCAGGTACGTTTGGTCAAGAAAAAATTCTTCTACAAAGTATCGAATAGAAAGACAAAAGACTATATTTTTTACTTATAGGGTAGGGTGAACACCCCTACCAGTCCGTGACCTTTTGTTCAGTGGGAAGTGGATATAGTCTAGCCCTTTCCAAAAGCCTACAATAGGCAATTCGTTTGTCATTGTCTACTTGACTTTTTTGGGCTTAGCTTATGTGGTCCTAGACCTATCTTCAGTTCTCGGCCTATCTCGTCCAAAAATTCTTACCATTGGAGAGGGGAAAGAAAAGTAGAAAGAAAAGGAAGATGAAGAACTGAACGTACTTACTAAAATTGACGCTCAGGTTGTCTTCTACAAACAAGGAGTGCTCGATCTTACTAAAGTCTTTTAAGCTTCAAGGATTTAAGTGGGCCAAAGTGTGGGAAACCCCCTCTTATTTATAACCCTTTCAAGGCATTGATTATCGAGAGGAATGGTGCATTAAATGCAATTTTAAAAATGGGTGATAGACGTACGTATAACGACTCCCACGAAGTGACGTGCATCAGTCGTCTTCAATTCCCTAATGCCACGTGACCCATGCATGAGAAATTGAAGGTTGGGGCAGTTGACATGACACGAAATGACAATTGTATCAAGACGTGACACGTGGATATGAACAGTACTGCACTAAGGAAGTGCATGGTCCTGAGGAAACAAGCCCTTGGGGCTATGGAAAAATAGGTGATCTCGGACCCAAGCATTCAACACTGGGCAGGTATGTGAACCCCACGATGCTACATATTGCTACTGCAGGGAATGATTACTTGTGCAAACACGTCATATTGAGTCACATGTCGAATATCAAAAAATTCAGATAAAGGTATGACCCTAGTTGATGTGGACTGCTCAGTGGCGTCTGCATTTAATACTCGGAGCCAGTCCAAGGAATGTTCTTCGCAACTCAATGAATGCCTGACAAAGATCATTAAATGTTGAGGGAATGTACATTAAATGCTTAGTCTCCCAAACAAGGGAATCATTATGAAGCTAGGTCCCGAGGAACCACCTGATCTTCCCTAAACCTAGTAATTGCACGACTTAAGGGGAGAGTAGCTATTGATTTATTGCCTCTATGGAGGAGCTGCTAACCGGCTTAATGGGACCCCCAAAATGTCATGTCATCACACTTGAAGTACGACTTAAGTTCAAACTAGGTCATGTGAGAGTAGGTGTGTGCTTGTGCAAGGGTATATCTTTCTACGAGTGTGCACAACGTTATCATATAATAGAATGGGTAGGTCACTCCATGAGGCTTTCGCTATTGCGTAGTTTGGAGAGAGTTAAATAATTAACAGAATAATTCCCCACAGAAAGGAAAAGAAAAATGTAAATGAAAAGATAAAAAAGGTGATTCTCATCAAGAAACTATTTTCTATAAATATACGATACATAAAAATGTTTGCTGCAACTTAAAAACTCTCAAGTAGTGTGCTTCACTTGCCTCGTGGACTTCAGAGATCCTTTTACATTACTATCTATAATTATTCATGATCAAAAAACAATTGGGAGATGGAACATATCTTTTCTTTATATATACAGGCAACAATGCTGTTACAGCAAAAATACCAAATTAATGTTTCACCAGCATAGCCTCTAGTCTTCTTTTTCTAGCAGCATGTTTTAGTTTCTCCAATGCAACAAGGCCAACCTGCCTAACTCTTTCTCTGGACAAACCTATCCTGAAAAGGTCACATAGAATAACTTTGTTAAGGCAACAGAAATTGGAAAATGCGTAGCTTTATTGAAACGAATCATTTTGTACAGAAAGTAGCATTTCTGTGAAAAAGGAAAGAAAAATAGGACTTTACAATCTATCATTGACACACAATTTCAATCGAATATGTGGTTTAGTCTTTTTGTATCCATGCTTAAAACACTACTTAGAACCCTCGAATGTTCAACATAGTTTCCTAACTTCTGTATGTATCTATTTGAATCATCTCAACACCATGAAGAAAGGTTGTTACGGACTGAGGACCAGAGTTACACACACACACACATGAAAATATAAGTGGCCATAGCTTTAACGAAAAGGAATGATAAAAACAACTCAAAGCATTCTTAAAAAGAGGTAACTAAAACTGCCCCTTTGAGGCCAACATTTGTATCATTTAACCATGCCTATTATGAATAAGTGTGCAGTAATATATGGATTCACACCGTCTACTGATATCCTCCCAAGTAAGACATTCATTGTCCAGACCATAGTAGAGACGAATAATATCTCTCTCCCGTTCCCTTAGTGTCGTACTAATGAGCTTGTTCACTTCATCCTGCAGGATTATTTACTAAAAGGGTCAATTGCTTTGCCACAGTGCAATAGTTTAGCAAAACAAGAAAAACAATAATCTAAGTAAACAATTGGCATACAAGAGCAAGTCAGTACAATGTTGAAAACAGGGGTGGAGCCAGGAATTTAACTTAGGGTGGGCCCTTCATTACATGCTGCAGTTACATAGATAAAAGCAAGTTGATAGGCTGATATTTATTTACAGAGCCCGATTGCAAGCAAACAAAGGCCAATTTACATGCAAATTCCAAGTAATGTCACGTTTGATTAAGAACAAAAAACAAAAAAGGCAAAAAATATGCAAATCAATTGAATCTTAGAGACCCTAACACAATTAAAAAATACTAAACATTCAGTTACAAACCAAACACAACTTATATTCTCAAAAAATAAAAATAAAAAATCTTCGACCGTCGGGTAATTTTATTAGAAATTTTAAAATGATTCCAGTGTGTTCAAAATTTGAACCTGTATGAATGGTGTCCATAATGTGCCCATAGCCATTTAGGTATAGATCTATATGGAAGTAATAGGGTGGGCACTAGAACATATATATGAGGGTGTTTAATACATGTATATAAAAACATATATAAGTATAGTTTTTTCAAAATATTTGAGGATAGGCCAGGAACCACCCTGGGCCAAGGGTGACTCCGCCCATGTTCACCACCAAAAGATTATGAGAGACGCTAATGCTCTACGTCTTCTTGAAAACCTATCTATGTTTTGCTAATTCATAAACACGTGTAACAAGAAAGTATATGCATAAAGCACGTTTTAGATCTTAAGCCAACTCCCAAGGCACGAGTCACATTCCTTGTAAGAGCCATAGTCTGATATTAGGATTCCGTGCACATAGGATATCATGGATGTCCCACAGGAGCCAAGGTTCTGGGGAAATTATCCTTTAGTGACTCAGCATCTACCCTATGCACCACATGTTTTTCTTCCTGACCCTTTTGCTTGAACCAAGAAGGAAAAATGGTGTTAAGCAACAAAAAGAATTTTAGATACGTTTTCTTTTCCCAACAAAGAGCAGCCAATGTTAGATCCTTCTAGAACAAGGCATGCTACACACAAAATATATTTCAGAAGATAGTAAACTGGGTGAAGCTTTGTTTGATTGTTTAACATTGCTCTTTATAATCCATCCACTCCGTAGTGAGAGATAGCTTGTTTCTCTGGTAAGCTAAATCAGTTTTCTGTCAAAATCCACCATTTTAAGTGTGCAAATTTTAAAATGTTGCTTCATTCTTATTACCTTGAGTGCCCATTCATCAACTCCATGCCATGGGTTGTTTTCGAGACGATTATCTGCAATATACTGGAGAGAGAAAAAAAGAGAATCAATGAAAAAAGGTAGGATGAGATGATTACACTTATTTTCTCACCAATGGTAGCATGTTAATTTAGTAGAGTCAAGTTGGTAGAATTAGACTTACACTATGAAGTGTTTCTCCTGGAAGACCATTTAATGAAGGGAATGCTTCCCTATCAAGGGAGAAGACCTTGCTGATTGCCTGCGAGGAGGGATCTTAGACATTGAGAATGAAGATAATAAGGACAATTAAGGCAGAATACATAGTTAAAATAAGAATCTCCCATATTTGGTACCTCGGTGGCATTCCTAACTTTCTTTTGTGACATGTTTAGACATTCTGCTATTCTCTGAAACATCAAAGGAGAAGACTAGTCAATAGAACACAAGGGCCTATGAAACTAGGATATAACAATGCAAAACAATATAAATCCTGATCTTGATTTGGCATCACTATGATAATTATGGGTTAAGAATGTTCTGGGATGAACAAAGAGCAAGTAATTCTTTTCATTAAACAACATATTGAGTAGTTGGACTTACATCAATCGAGGGCATTATTCCTTTCTCTTCCAGTTTGGACTTTGCATTCCGAATTAAACTCAGCCTTTCATGCAAATGGTTTGGCAATCTTAAGGTTCTCGAATTATCAACTAATGCTCTCGAAACACCCTGCCAAAAAGAGAAATGGTTCATCCTCAGGTCTTGCCCCATTGAGTGAGACATGAACATACTTAACAACTAAAATACACCACTTTTGGTTTGAGCTGGAAAAAAGCATGTATTTGAAGGAAATCAAATACAACGAATTGAAGGCAATACAAATTAGTAAGTAAAAAAGTTCCATGAATATAAAGGAACAGCAAACTCATGCATTCAGCACTTAAACCGATATGTGGCACAGTCAGCTGTATGCATCTGCCATTTAAAACATAGAGCAACAAAACAACTTTTCTCAAACCATTGATGGTTGCACCATAGTTACTCCTACATGCGACTAAGGAACAAAGGAAGAGAACAGTGGACTATGAGAGGGAAAAAGCCAGCAATATGATCCAAGGGGGATAATCCATCATCAATAATATATGTTACATGACTCGGAGACATGGACTAATCTTTTTTTGAAGTGATTGTGTCTCTTAGACAATTGTCCCTAAATTTAAGCCTCCTTTGTGATTGTTAAATGATCCTCGGCACAGGGACCAAAACTAGTTTAACAAACAAAAGCTTAAATTCTCCAAAACCAGAAAAAACAAAAGAGAGCAAGTAGAGAAATGGATTACAGCGGAGAAAAGAAGAACAAGAAAAAGGACATATTGTAAACTGGACTTCCAAAGGCCAATCGATCTTCTAAAATGGGCTTACTTGATAACTCAAAGCAAATCCTTGTTGAAAAGGTCATTTTAGGGCCATGTAACCAGTGGCATTTTGTTTTTTTTTAGTTTTTTCTTTCTTCTTTTTTAAACGGGGGGGGGGGGGGGGGGGGAGTGTGTATGATCCACAAGCATTTGAAAGTACCATTAATCCCCTTTAACTTATCACTTTTCTGAGAAATATTCACGTGATCCTTCTAGATTAATGATATTGTGTAGTGTGGTGCCCCCTAATTCATCTCTCTTCTGGAAAAAAGAAACTGAAGCAAACAGATGCTCCTCTGAAATTCTGGCCCTACTTCTTCAAGTAACTAAACCCTTGTTGAAAAGAAAGTGCCCATGCACATAGTTTAAGCAAAATCTAAGTGCCATACTGCCCACTAGTGGGTCTTAAACAAATCATCCTAAAAGATGAATGAATTTGATGGGTTTTCTTTAACTGCATGACATGGAAAATAATTATCTCAAGTCCAGACTTAAATAACCATAATCGTTTTTTTATTTCATTTTGGGTAGGACTAGTTGTGGTATCTTTCACAGCTTCTTGTTTCAGTTGTGAGAAACTTGACCTTGTAAATTGCAACCTTGCCTATCACGAAAAGGTGAGCATCTAGAAACATTGAAGATCATGCAGATTCATAAATTACAGGGGCTGTTGACATCTAACAATCACCACATTTGAAGGAGAGCATTAACCGCACCTGACGTATCCACCAATAAACATAAGTGGAAATTTTGAACCCCTTTGAAGAATCAAATTTTTCAATCCCCCGGAGTAGTCCAATCAGGCCGCCCTATATAAGCAATGGAGGAAATACCTCAAATTAAGGGGAAGTAGTCACACTGAGCACACAAATACATAGGTGCAGGATATTAGCATCCCCAAGTTGAAGTCAAAGGGCAACTCACTTGAACAAGGTCAGCCATTTCAGCACCCATGTTATCATATCTTTGTGCAATAGACATGACTAGACGAACATTGCTCATAGCCAGCTTTTCTCTTGCCAAAGAGCACTCAATCAGAGTTGTTTGTAAATCAGCACGAGACATTCTCAAGGATCTTGCTAGTTGCTCCTCTGAAGGTTCACATCCTAATCTTCCTTTCAATCTGAAATTCCCATATTACAAGAATCATTCAAGCATGATGATTATAGATTTTTTTTCTTCAAATCGACAGGCATGCTCAAAAGGGGGAGGAGTAATATGGACACAGCAGTTGAAGAGGAGATAAAATATCTTTCCATGAGCTTTTACAAATTCCAATTTCTAAATTGAAGGGGTTAATTGAAAATAACTCCTATATAAATTAGAATAAACCCAATCAGGATCTAGTTGCCTTTTTATTTGTCAGGTCAAGAATTTTTTTTGTGATTTATAAATACTTGGTGCCACTTCTTTGCAAATGATGACTAAGAAAGGAGTAATTTACAGCCCGAATCAAGTCATCAGTAGATCTTCAAACAAAAGGGAAGCAAGATAGCAAAAAAATTAAGAACTATGTAGTTCAGGCTTCAGACGCTAAGCAAATGACATTAAAAAAATCTTACATTTGCAAAAGATGGATACAATGTAAGTTCTTGTATTCTCCATATAAAATCAATCTTTTTCAAAATCAATACTTTTACAAGAACTTTTATATGTTGGCAAACTATATCCTGTGCTGTAAATACAAAAATATAGTTAAAATGCTTCATTTAATTATGTGAGCAATACAGAGAAGAAAAGAGATTTTACTTACCTTGATTTCTGCTCGTCTAAGACAAGACCAGTTTTAATTTTTTTGGATAGTTGCACTACTTCAGCATGGGTGAGCAATTCTTCACTTATTACACCCTTCACATAACCTTTCAAATGATTCTGAAGGAGCTCTGGGCTGATAATGGACCTGAGCTGTCTACTTGTACTGAGTTGCATAGTAGAAGTTTTTTGGCTCAGAATTTTTCTCCGAGAATCTATTCTCCGCCTCCTAGCAGAGATCCCAGAACAAGTGACCTGCATCTTCTTGTGAGTTTTTTCTCTTAATGTCGAAGTTACTATTGCCTGCTCAGTCGACAGATTCCACTGCTTTTCAAGCATTGACTTCTGTAACAAGAGGAGAGCCTCCAAAGAAAGTTCTGGATCAGGACTTTCTTCTCCACATGGTTGAATCTCTGAAGATGTGCCTCTACATTTGGAGGATCAGAAGCAGTATCTACATGTTCTTTTAGAGCCTTGATGGATTGTTTATGTCGATTGGAGAGAAAACTAGGGGTATAATGTGATGACTTCTTTGCAGTGATTACATTCTTCGTTGAAGCAACCTGATGGTGTGTGACAGTGAATGGTCGCAGCTGGAGGACAACTTTTCTGTAAGATCGGAATAATAGAAGGAGGAACTCAAGAGCCTCTTCCCCGCATTCAGTCCAATTACTGCAGCAGTGGCCATCCTAAGATTGCC